TGGAATGTATCACGTAAGTGACCAATCAGAGTCCTGTGCCATTCCTGTCAACCAATGAAATTATAATGACCGGCTGGCCAGAATCTTTTCTTTTCTTTTCCATTTTTATCTTAAAAAAGCCAGATTCCTCGGATGCCATTTGGGGCATACTTATTCCAGGCAACCAAGGTCATGCTTCTCTCCTTGGTGGCCATTCTCATATTGGCTCAAATGAACTCTTTTTTTTTTTTTAATTTTCTCACACTTGGAGTACCTCAGCCTGCCTTTTGGTTGACGGTACCTTGCCTTGGCAGTCACAGGAAGCAAATACACCAACAAAGCCATCTGGAAAACAGGCTTTCTGCTCGCAAGGCAGTGGGTTTGGGAGCTCCTCATGCCTGCAGAGACTTTCCCATCCAGGGAAGTAGAGGCTGGTGCTTTCTATAGACAGGAAGGAGATAAACTGAGCATGCCCAGTACTTTCTTTAAAATTCACCAATCATAGGAGAAAGATGGGTGGTGGTGGTGGTGGTGGTGGTGGTGGTGGTGGTGTGTGTGTGAGTCTAGCTAAAATTCATCCCATGGGAAACATGCAGACTGAGAAATAAAGAGTTCCTCCCCAACATCAGACTACAGATGCCTCTTTTTTGACCTTCCCAGAGTTTTTTTTTTAAAAAAAATATTGAATTAGTATCCAACATTTAAACCTTGGAAAATTTCATATACAATACAGAGTTGAAAGTTCTCTTTCCACCTTCCCGCAGGGGTGTGGCTGGCTGTGGTGCAGGAGGGGTGTCTTCCTCAGATGCGGGCTCTCCGCCTCACCTTGCTGCCCCCGCTGGCTGTGTCTTACCCAGGGCGGTGCCACTCGTTCCAGAACGCTGGGTAAGGGCACAGATCCGAGTCAGACCACTCCTGTGCTCAAATGTGTCTTCAGTCCCTTCCTGAATGGGTGGCCTTGGGTGATTTTCTTCACCTCCTCGAGTCTCAATTTCCTGACTTAGAAAGCGAGAATAATGATAGAACTGCCTCATGGTGCTGTGGTGAGAACTGAATAATGTGACCATGTGAGTCTTTCCTTACACAATATGAGGCCGTGACAGATGGGAACCCCCGTTACTGCTTAACATAAAGCAAAACCCGTCAACGTCGGGGGGAAAACTTGGAAGAGAACCCAAGTCTCTCGCCTGAAGTTTGCTTTGTCTGCTCTGAGCACTGCCCTCTGTCTCATCAGTTTTCAGGAAAATATTATAGTGATCCAGCTTCCAAGGAACCCCTTTTCTCCAGCAAGGAGCCCAATCGCAGTTTGGGGAATTAGAGGTCTCATTAAGGCGGGGTTCCCTCCTCCTCGCAGTTTGAATCTCTTCTGGAAGGAGGTTGCAGTGAGGCAGGAAACTCTGGATTCCATCCAAATACTTTGATGTCTGGGTTTTAAAATAGCTTCAATCTTAGCTGGCTTTACAGACTTCCTAGTGGCCCTCACAGGACAGCTTCTGCTTTGACAGATCACTTCTCCTGGGAGGCCTGGAATGATGGAAGACGCAGCAGCCACCAAAGGACTGCAAATAGCCTATTTCCAGGTGGAGGCAGGAAACCAGATGGAATTGGGAGGGAGACGGGGCCAGGGAGGAAAGTTGTTTTATGAAGACCGCTGTGAGAGGGGACCCAGTGAGGAAGCTGTCAGTCTCTGGAATGGTTGCCAGCTTCAGAAACCAGCTAAAGCCAGTCCTTGCAAAAAAGTGAATTGATTTGGAAGGACGCTGGGTTATTCCAGACTGCCCAGGGACAGTGAGCCCTTCGTACAGACAAGGACCAGAGACGGGGAGGTGAGGGAAGCACCAGGTGTGAACTGTTGGTACAAGTTAGCTGTTGACATAAAAGATGGCGGCCTGATTGCTGACATACCATCTGTCAGGTAGCCCATCTTTTCTCAGAAATGTCACATTTATCACATTCTACTTTTTCCCCTGTGTTTTGGGGACGATTTCTGGTAAGATTCTACTCCGTCTGGCATTCTTCATGTCATGGGTTGAAATGTGGACCCCAAAAGGCATTGGCAAGGTACTGACCCCAATACCAAGGAGTGGGATGTCATTTGGAAGTAGAGTCTTTATATAGGAAATCAAGTGGAAATGAAGTCACTAGAGTGGGCCCTGGATCCAATACGACTGGTGTCCCTAACAAGGGGGAAATTTGGACACAGAGATGGATACACAGCCACGTGAAGCCTAGGGACTAAGGAACACCAAAGACTGCTCGTGGACCACCAGAAGCCAGGAAGAAGCGTATAAGATTCCTTTCTTTATACCTTCAAAGGATGCTTGGCCTAACAACACCTTGCTTTCTGACTTTAGCCTCCAGAATGGGTGACAAAAAATTCCTCCCAGTTTATGTTTTTTTTGTTATGGCAGCTCTGGCAAACTGATACAGTGTTGTTTTAGCATGACTGTTTTAATGATGATGGTTTCATCATCTTTTAAAAATATCTGGTCACATTAATCCAAGGGAGGATATGTTTAAAATGGGCAAGATGGTGCTATTATGGTTTGGATGTGAGGTGTCCCCTGCAAGCTCCTTGTTAATGCCAGGAGTATTTAGAGGTGACATGATAAGATTATGAGAGCTGTAACCCACTCAGTCCGTCCTGGTACGAATGGACTGACGGGGTGGTAATTGTATCCAAGTGGGGTGTGGCTGGAGGAGACAGGTGACTGGGGGCTGTCCTGGAAGGGTACATCTTCCCTGTGGCCCCTTTTCCCTCCTTTGCTGCTTCCTGGCCACCGTATCCTCAGCAGCTTCCCTCCCCCACACCCTTTTGCCATGAATATCTGCCTCCTCTTAGGCCCAATGCCGCAGTCTGGCTGGGCACAAAATCACAGAGCCACTCACAGCTTTGTAGATTCAAACAGCAATTCTTTATTCCCGAACTCACACCGGCACTCTACACACGTTCTGGGGAAATCCATGTTCTGGGCCAAATCCACAATACTCTCTGAATCCCGTTGAGAACTCAACGGGAACTCAAGGAGCGGGCGAGCCTGAGGCAGCAGGATATGCCCTATTCCCAGCAGGGTACACCTTAAACCTGGAACCGCCCTGGTCCTTGAGCAAGGTCACCTTACATGCAATGTCACTGCAAATGACCTGGGTCAATATGGAGAGTCCTTCCTCTAAGCAACATTGGGTAGGCTGACAAAGAAATTGCCATGTGTCATTCCTACTTGGCAATGGCTCTCAGCAGTAACCCACTCAGTCCGTCCTGGTACGAATGGACTGACGGGGTGGTAACTGTATCCAAGTGGGGTGTGGCTGGAGGAGACAGGTGACTGGGGGCTGTCCTGGAAGGGACATCTTCCCTGTGGCCCCTCTTCCCTCCTTTGCTGCTTCCTGGCCACCGTATCCTCAGCAGCTTCTCTCCCCCACACCCTTTTGCCATGAATATCTGCCTCCTCTTAGGCCCAAGACAATGGACCTGCTGGACCGTGGACCAAACTTCTGGAACCATGAGCCAAAATAAAGTTTTCCTTCTCTAGGTTGTTCTTGTCGGGTATTTTGATCATGGCGATGCAAAGTGGCCTAACACAGGGACCCTGGCCCCATTTCTGTTTCGTTTCCTGGCCGTGAGGTGAGCTGTTTTTCTCTGCCATGGGCTCCTGCTAGGCTGGGCTGCCGCACCCCACAATAGGGCCAAGGGATCATGGGTTGGAACCTCCAAACTGTGAGCCAAAATAAACCTTTTCTCTTTAAAAATCAATCGTCTCAGCTTATACCAATGCCAAAAAGCGGAATAGCACCATACCCCAAACGTAGCAAATGGAGACCATTACCGTTTCGCTTTTTAATGTGTGTTATATGGTTTATGCAAACTTTGGACCAGAGCTGCTCTGCATAAATCTAAACTTCTTGTGGCAATCTTACTGACTTGTGAGGCTGGGTGTTACATTAATATTTAGAAGCGATTTAGGCCAGCACTCAACTACTGCGCCTGTGAACAAATTCTTCTAACACATGTGCAGACTCCAGTACAGGCTGGGCAAGGCTCTGTCACGACTTCATAGATCAGTTGAGTAGTAACAGCAGAACATAAAACATGCTGAACTGTGACAATGTGATGCCCTAGACCATTTCCGTTTTTAAGTTTTTCCTGCAGTTCTGGCTTTAGTAAGCAGAATGGCCTTCAGTAGCAGTGTGGGGCTTTCGATATTTCCATGCCCACAAGAATAGCTAAAGCTTCATTAAAGTAGTCCAAAGATTAAATTTCAGACTCAATATTTGAGACAAAGTAAATCAAGGTTTGGAAGCATTTTGTGAATATCCGATGGAGATAGGAATGGAGATTTCTAATAATCAAAAATGTGTCAAGATCTACTTTTCTTTGAAAACATGGATAAAGTGGGCTGCAGATCTTGTTCATTGAATCTCTCCTGAGTCAACAACTTCATCATTAAAGAATGTGAACAATCAATCATTAGGGTGAGTGATTCATTGTTAGATCAAAAATTCCTCCGGTCTCACTTCCATTGAAAGGTGAGCTCTTGAAACTGTTCGTGTGTAGCCACTCAGGTAAGGTCAGTGACCCCTGTGGCCAAGGGTTTCATCTGCCTAGCATGCTTTCCTTTATTTCCCTTGCTCTTCTTACAAATGGGAAACCCACTCCCTGTGGATGGGCGGGGCTGTCCTCATCCCCCCTGTCCCACAGAGATGACATCATGACTCCACCTGGCCAATCAGAGTCCCCTGTTGTCAACTGTACTGAGTAGACTGCTCTATCAGCACCTTCCTTGAAATTTTCTCTGGGCCTTTGGAAGAAAGAAGGTATTCTTTTTTCCCTCTAAGACCATGAACTTTGTTTTTTTTAAATACTGAGTTTTATTTCACATGTATATTTTTGTCTTCCCACCATTTCCATGTCTGACCACCACTACTACTATGTCCTATCATAACATTCCATACATACTTAGAAACCAAGCAAAGGGTGGAGTTCCATCTTTAAAAACTAAACAGGCATTTTGGACAACACATTCTTGGCAATAGAACCTTGACAACATTTATCAAACACGGTAGGGAAAGTTCTCACTTTGCATTATAAAAAGGACAGCCAGATATCAACTGTTACAGAAATGAAATAAGACGGAAATTTTTAACAAACTGTTTAAACTATTTTCTTAAAGAGACTTCCTCCACTGCCAGAGATCTTGAATAGCCTCCTGGTCAGTCATCCGGAAGCAATTCTTCACATAATTGATGAACTTGGCTTCCATTTTGGGAAGAGAACCACCTTTTTCTATACTTGCTTGCATTTTTGCTTTAATGTCTTCTACAGAACTAGGTCCTTTTGGTGTTTTAGGATTTTTTTCCTGTTTTTTGAAGGATTCTTGACCTTTTGATCTTGGTGTTGTTGTTTTTGAGTCTTTTCCATTCTGGTTCGATTTTTGTGCATTTTTGGCTGGAGTATCTCGTATAGATTTCTTCACTGGAGCTTTTTCTTCAGTTTCCTCATCATCAAAATCATCATCATCATCATCTTCATCATTGACATCTTCATCAGCAGCAAGTTTTACTTTTTTCTGGGGAACCTTGCTACCACCTCCAGGGGCAGATCGCTTTCCAGATACACTTAAGAGTTTCACATCCTCCTCCTCTTCATCTTCTGACTCAGCATCTTCCTCCACAGCTACTAAGTGCTGGCCACTAATATGCACAGGCCCTGAACCGCACTTCAACCTTAAGACCACAGGTGGTGTGATTTCAAAGCCCCCAAGGGAAACCGTTGGCTGTACTGACATTTTCAATGTTGCCAGTGTTACTTTAATTGGACTGCCTTCATAATTCATTGCCTCTGCTTCAACAATGTGCAATTCATCCTTTGCACCAGCCCCTAAACTGACCATTCTTAATGATAACTGGTGCTCATTTTCATCATTATCCACCTTAAAGTGATAGTCTTTGTCAGCTTTTAGCTCACAACCAAAAAGGTAGTTCTGGGGCCTCAGGGGGCTCATGTCCATATCCATCGAATCTTCCATGGGGTGGTAGCATGCACTTAGGTGGGAGAGAAGGTGGACAGAAAACGGGTGGCTGCTCTAAAGAGACGCGCAGGACAGAATCACGCCAGGGAGACCATGAACTTTAACTGTCGTGTAAGCCTAGCGCTTCCCGGGTCATCTTTCCCTTCAGTGCAAGAAGGCTCTCAGGGAGTAGTGCCAACTGGAGGGAATCATGTTCAGGACTGAGGGGTGGAGAGAGGGAGATGGAGAAGCCACTGTGACTGAGGCTCTCCAAGCCCTTGGATTTTCCCTGGGTGAGTTGATACACATTCTCCACTCCTTTTCCCCCTTAATATAAATTGAATTGAGTTACTTTTGTGTGGAACAGAAAGGTCATTGACAAATCACTGTGTTCTTGTAATTGTCAATAAACAGCTACAAAACGGATACAAAAAGTATTTAGACACAGAAATTAATAAAGAACTGAACCCTCCTGCAGAAATCCACAATATACATTTACTAGACTCTTCAAAAGAACCACAGTCAAACTCATTGACAGTCTTGTAGAATGCTAATGAACTTGAAATTAAAATGATGCACTTATATGAACAATATTCTTTTCCTCTTTCTGTATTTTCTGTATTGGGTTTATGCATAAGATTTTATTGGACAAAGGATTCTCTTGCTAAAAGTTACGTGAAAATGACTGTATTGGATGGTCTTCCGAGTTCTCCTAACCTGGGAATTTCGAGGTTCCAGTGAACTCCTCTAGACTGAATGGAAGAAAGAAAAAGAAGGAACGTGTCATGGAGGAGAAATGTTAAGTCTCCAAGGTTTCCCCCTCTTTTGTTTTCCCGAACTCTGTGGTCTATGTTGGCCTCACTGAGCTAAGCCAGGGAAGAGGCCTCTTGAGAACACATAGGCTTGTTGGAGCCCAAGGCAGGGTGAATCTCCCAGAAAAATGCCCAGAATAATGTTTGAGAAGCTGCAAAGGGAGATTGTGGAGATTGTCCTGTTTACAGCACTTCTCACAACTTGATCCCAGATCCCTTCTCGCCAAGGGCTGTTGGGTGGTAGACACATTTGTTCAGCACCGCTTCTTCCCTCCCTCCCCTCCCTCCACCTCTGGTCCCTCCCCTCCCTCCCCTTCTGTTCCCTCCTCTTCTTTCCTTCTCTCCTTCCCTCCCTGCTTAATGGTAAAAAGAAGTGAACAGGTCTCCTCCCATTGGCCGTAGCAGGAAGTTCCTGAAGCCTTCTCACTGGATCCATGTGAACATCAGGATCCTGGGTGTGGTGGCTCATGCCTGTAACCCCAGCAGCTCAGGAGGCTGAGGCAGGAGGATCACAAGTTCAAAGCCAGCCTCAGCAACTTAGCAAGGCCCTAAACAACTCAGCGAGACCCTGTCTCTAAATAAATACAAAAAAGGGCAGGGGATGTGACTCAGTGGTTAAGGGCCCCTGATTTCAATACCTGGCACTAAAACCCCAAAACAACAAAGAAACAGCACCCCCCAAAAAAACAACAATCAAAAACCCAACCAACCAACCAACCAACCAACCAGACAAACAAAAACCAACACATAAAACCACCCGGAGGCCTTTCTGCTGGCCCGTCCATCTGCTCTCTCTCCTAGAGGAACTGGTTTCCCTTCCCCAGTGAACTCTGACGCACAGAGATGCAGGACAAGAATGGCCCTCGAAGCAGGCGGCAGGAAGCAAGGCTTCTGACCACTTGTCAACCCCGAGCTGATGTCTCACGAAGCTGACCAGCATGAATAGTGGCCACTCCTAGAGCTCTGGCCACATGACAGGCACGGTTCCCAGCCTCATTTAATCCCCCCAGAATGCACGAGGTAAGTACCCTCCATGACCCTCCAGGATGGAAGGATGTCCCATGCTCTCCTGTAATGTGTGTCCAGCTTCCCTCGGAACACTTGCCTCCATTTGGAATTCTAGGAGCGTAAACTCCGCAATGGCAGGAACAGTGTCTGTTAATCGTGATGCCCAGACCTAGCCGAGTGTCTGGCACTTACTAGGCACTTAGTAACACTTGCTGGATGAAGACAACCTCAATATGGAGGAATTAAAGCTTGAAGGGGCTGAGTCACTCCCTGGAGGTCACACAGGTAGCAAGTTGGGGAGCCGGGATTGGAACCCACACCCTTAACTCTTTGCATCTCATAAGGGAGGTCTGGTTTCCAGATCTGCTCTGTTCACGCTTCCCTGGGCAGAAGCCACTATGTCCAGTATAGTTTGGCAGCCACGTTATGTTCTTGGGTAACTAGGATGAGGGTCCTGTGCCAGGGAGGGGAGGCTGGGGGGTTAGAGTGGATAGAGCCTTGGGATTCTAACTTCGAAAGGTGAAGTTGGCTGTCAGCACTCACCCATGGGCATCTCAGAGGTTCCATTCGGATCATTTCTGGAAGATGGTCACCTCTTATATTGTGTCGTAACAGAGGTCAAGTGTTTAGGTCATGGGAATGGCTGGCTCTCTTGAATTGAGATCTCTAATTAACTAACTGGTGGCCAAATCATTCTGGAGAGAGGTGCTGCACTCTTCTGACATCCTTTACCTGTCTTGAGAGAAGAACAGAGGAAGTAGGACATCCCCTTTGTCCTTTCTCTAACATGATGTCCAAGGTGCACTGAATGGTCGCAGCCACTGGACCACTCTCTAGAAACCCGCGTTTCCTCCCATGTCCTTGTGTTTGTACCAGGAGTCACTCATTTGTTTTCAAACCTATTCAGTCAGTTCTGCTTTTTACTGTAACTAAAGGACGGATCACCAACAACTTTAAAATGTTAAAAACGAATGAAACATTGAGTACAGAAACAGAGTCGTTTTAAAGAAAGTCAGACTGAATGCTTAAAAGAAAAAAATAAATAGGGAGATGCTTAAAAACCCTACTGTTAAAATAGTTTTGGGATCGAAAAATGTATGGAAAGTTTAGGAGGATCGAGAAGTTAAATGTGCTTTATAAGAGTTTTTAAGTTCTTATTCCATTTTAAAGAAACAGATCTAGAACATTTTAATGAGAAATGGATGTGATTTATACCAGAGAGAAAAAAATGGAATTCCAATCAGCATATCAATAGTCAAAGAAAACTCCTTGGCCCAGATATCACATGTCCAAGTTCATTTTCATTTTTTCTCTTTTGAAAGAAATGAACTGATTTCTTCTCAATAGCAATTGCAGAATATTTCAGGATTTTTTTTTTGTGTGTGCACATTTACAATACTCAATGTATGTATGCATCATTTAAAAAATGTTACCCTGCTTTTTCAATTCATTGATAATATCAAGACTCATTATGATAAGAGGGTCTTTTGTATATATAAAGCATTGTAAGCAATTTCCAGATCTTGTCATGATGGCAAATTAGCACAGGCTTCTAGCTCCACTTGCTACTCCCTCCTTTCCTTAAACAACGCTGGAGAAATTATAGAGGGAGGCGTGGGATAGAGGAAATAAAAAAAAAAAGAAAACTGCTAAGTTCTTTGAAATGCTCTTGAACTATAAGTATGAGGCAGTGGTGGTGTGGCTGTGGCTGTGGCTGTGGCCTGGGGTGTAGGGTCACATGTGCAGAAACATTCTATGAAAGTACATCCCTGCCCTTGCCTTCCTCCATAATTGACTTGGAGGAATCAAGCCATTGCATGTCCCCAACTCCAGAAACAGCCAAGACCTGTAAATTGGGACAGAGCAAAAGTCCCTTGGGGTGAAGAGTTGAGGAAATCGGTGATATATTGACTAATCATGTCATTTGTTTTTCCCAAACTCCGCCCACTGATGATTATCTTTGAGAGCATGGCGGGGAAGTCCTGGTCTGGAGAGAGTGTTGGCTAGTGATTCCTAGGAGGTGAGTCCAAGTTCTCCAACCTGGGGCTCATCGCCTTTTCTCTCTTAGAATCCTTCCACTGACAGAGTTAAGTTTGAACTTCAGCCTGTTTGTAGGGAGCAAGACAGATTCCCTTTTGGGGACTCTGAACTCAGGTCATAATAAAAAGATACCGAAAGAGTACAAGTAGTGAAATTATCCTAAAAGAAAAGGCATGAAAAAAAAAAAAAAGAAAGAAAAAATATGAAGCTGTATGCAGGGGCTGGGGTTGTGGCTCAGTGGTAGAACACTTGCCTAGCATTTGTGACACACTGGATTCGATTCTCAGCACCACATACAAATAAATAAAATAAAGGTTCATCAACAACTCAAAAATATTTAAAAAAATGAAAGTGTATGCAAAGTAGAAATGTTAGAACAGAGAGCAGAAGGTTCAAATAGGCCCAGCAAAGATCTTACCTCAGAACAGGACCAAAAGAGTGATAAAAAGAAGACATAACACAGAACCAGGTAGATATATTCATTTCAAAAAGATATTGGTTGAGATTACTGGTTAAAATACCTGAGACACAGTGGAACTGATGCAAGTGAGACATGAATCTCTGAAACAGATAATCATATTGATGAATCACCAGTAGGAAGCAAGCATGGTAATAATAATGATAGGAAATAGAAAGGTAAAATATATGGAGCATAGAAATATTAGTGTCAAACAGTGGATAATAACAATCTTGGACGACAGAAAAATAAAATGAGGAAGAAATACTTGGGAAAAAGAAGAAAGAAATTTGAAGAAATGTCCTAGAATTAAAGAAAGATAAGTGATCATAGAATGAACAGCACCAAGAGTTCCAACAGAAAACATCCCCCAAACCCCTTATCCAGATATATTAGTGAAGTTTAAAACATAACAAAGACAAAACCAGAAAACTTCCAGAGAGAAAGGACAGATTTCCTACTTGGAACAATAATCAGACTGATCTTTGATATCTCCACAGCAACACTGCCTGCAAGGAGACATTTGAATACCATTTTTAAGATAATGAAGTGAAATAATTTTGAACCAATATGTTCCTATCCAGCCAAATTTTCTTTTAAATGTAAGAATATAATAAGTCTTCTCTACCATAGAAAAACCCAACAAGTATTGAACCAAAAGATTAACGTTGAAAACATTTTTTGGGGTGGGGTGGGGTGGGTGGGAGGATGTCTTCAAATGAAAGGGGAGATAAATCCAGG